TTTACACTTATTCTACTAGCTAATTCATGTCCAAATGAAACGTTTCAGTCTATATGAGCCAAATACAAACTTTACTCAATAATACTGATGTTGATTGGTTATGTAGATTTTAGCCACAATATATATTTGTGGTATTTGAGAAAGATGAACATACTGGCAAAAAGTTGATTGAGCAGACCCAACCATATTGTCAGTAGAAAAAAAGTCCGTTTTTCTAAGTTTCATTTAAAGTGCATTTGGCTATTTAAAAAAAAAATGCCTCGTTAGGTCTATTGGCTTGGCTGCTGACGTGCAGGTCGCGGGATCGAATTTCGGCTGCGGCGGCTGCATTTCTGGTGGAGGCGGAAATGCTGTAGGCCCGCGTTCTCAGATTTAGGTGCACGTTAAAGAACCCCAGGAGTCTAAACTTCCGGAGCCCTCCACTACAGCGCCTCTCATAATCATATGGTGGTTTTCGGACGTTAAACCCGACATATCAATTAACTCCTTCATTTGCACTGCGTTCTTCGCGAAGAGAACATAGCTAAGTGCTTTCTTATGTACCCGCTGCAATACGCAGCTTACGTTGGTTACTACTCTCCATGTTGATACCTCGGAAGAAACTGAATTATTGGCATGCTCGTCGCTTAGAGCTGCCTTCTTAGTTTTACGTAAAATAATCACTTCAAATAGAAATCTACAATGATTCTCACCCGCCTCATCAAAGCAACATGATGGTTTAGTAGAGGCAGAAAGTGCGAGTTGGCTGTTTAACTTCTGTGATATGTTGCAGCACTAAAAAGAGAATAAGAAAGGCGGGGAGGTTACCAAGGCTGAGCCCGGTTGGCTGCCCATCACTGAATGAAGAGAAAGGGAAAAACTTCGAAAGGAGAAACAAATCAATGCTTCTCCAAACATTACATGACATAAAGAAAAGACGCTAATGTGCCTGTTCTTTTTATATATCGTGTTGTGTGCCGTCTATAGACTCGCCACGGTGGTTTAGATGCGGCGTTTCGCTGCTAAACAGACGAATTTCAATTTTAATTTTAATTTCAATTTTTATTTATGCTCAGGGCCATACAGGCAATACAAAGAGAAATAAAAAAAGTCAACAAATTAAGGCTTTTAAAGACAGATGAAAGACGCAACTCATGTTGACGAAAAAAAAAAGGGACAAGATATAGCGTCAACTTGAACTTCTACAGTCTCTCTTGTTCAAGAAATACATCGAGTGGCGCGCGTAGCGTGTCAAAGCAATTGTTGCTATCAGTAAAGTAAGCTCCGATACGACATCCTGTGTGTGGTACGTTACGTAATACTTGAACAAGAGACTGGTACCTGTTAAAGTTCAAGTTGACACCCTATCCTGTCCTCTTCCTTTTTTTTTTTTTGTCTACGTGGGTTTCGTTCTTCACCGTCCTTCAGAATGAACCAACTAGCCCAATAACAGGTTCTAGCAAGGCGGTTAAAATCGCATATTGGCACAGGCCGAATGCCAATACGTATAGCGGTTAGTGATGGTGACAACGGACACGGTAAGGCGGTTCAAGCCTTGGCTTGTTTCAAAAAGGGTGCCTTCGAAATGTATATTTTTCTAGCACTATGGTACTCCAACCTTCATCTGATGAGCAGTGCGAAATAAGTGGCTTGAAGGTGAAGAAAAGGACATCGCAAATTTCTCATTAGCGCAATGCATTTCATGAAACAGGCAAAGGCTAAGCAAGCAAACTCTAGTAAGTAGGGACGGCAGGCCGAGTTCTTGCCTCCCGCAAGAAGCGCTGACAGCGAGAGTATTTCGAAAATAATAAATCTGGTGGTATTTTTGGCCAGATTATCAATATTGTGTTAGCAAATTATTGTAGTCGTCGTCTCTTTATGTGCCCTGCATGACGAAAAATACTTTTACATGATCTCTACTTTATCCAATGTTGGGCCAGCTGTTTCCATGTAATATGTCTACAATTATTCTATTTTCGTCACCCCACTTTATGCCGTCTTCGGCTGAGCATACCATACATTGGTGTCCACTCTGTGGTTATAACTGTTGGAGGAGGATATTGTTATCGCAGGCGGTTCTGGACGTGCAATGACCGGTTTCAAAATAGAGGGAAAACATTGTCATTCTTGATGAGTGCAACGCGGGGCGGCGAATAAGTATAGGCGCGCTGAGCGCGACCAACTGTCCACATGCCGGCCCGTGAGGCATCCCAAGCACTGCGGTATACGCCGGGCCCCCTTTCCCCACGGCCCAACAGCATAAAATGAGCTTCACACATTACCAACCACAGGCAAGGTCTGTATCAATTAAAAACTTCAAGGGCAGTTGAGACCACCACTTTCTGAATAATACCCAGAGTTCACGCGAAACAATCATATATCGCCATGCACTGGAGTGCTGTGTGGTGAGCTTGAACGCTACAGTACTCCAAACAAACAGTTTAGGTCTCCAGCAAATGCACTTCACTTCCCCCAGTAATTTTTAACGTCCCCAGAAGTGTTTGCAAATAGCTCACAATTATTGGCGTAAATCAGCAGGGGAAGGGGCCCAATTTCTCTTGTGTTTAGGCTGGGAGTGTCCCCCTTTGAGTTTTAGCTTTATAACGTAGTGTATTTGATTACTCCACAGCCAAGTGTAGCACATTTAGCTTGTCTTAAAGACTGATTGTTTCTTTAGTGTATTTGTGTTCTATACCACTCAAATGTGTGAAACTATAGAAATCGCAAAAGCTGCTAGACCGGTTCAGAGAAGACCTAATAGAATTAACAATGCAATTACTCGATCTTGAACCCCATGCTCGTTTATTTTTAAAGTTTACTTCAAAGCATGATTCAATTCACATATAAATAAAAATACAATCTATACAAAAAACAAAGTGACTGTCATGGTCTGCTTGTGTCCCTTATTGGGACTTTTCTAGATTTACGCCACTGCCCAAATGGCGCCGCAAGAGGAAAGCCTGTCTTGTATAGTCATGCTGGTGTACGTGTGGACCCGTGCAGCTAACATGAAAAAAAAAAAAGGACAGAGAGAAACGATCTTATTCACGAAACTATAGCTACGAAGGTTTCTGAAGAATATTTGTTGCAGTAACTTGTACGAAGTGCAATTTTGGCTGCAGTGAAGAGGGTTCATAACATCGCCAGGCATGAATACCCGAATCATCTTCGCAGCTCCCCAGTCATCCTGCCTCTTTAAATTCTGCGCCAAATGCTGGGCAAACCCGCCAAATTGGAAATGGACGCGGTAGCACACGTCTCAAGTTGAATATTCAAGTTACCTAACAAGTTCAAATTAATATGTTATTGAATGATGCAATATTATATTGTTCGTTAATTAAAATTAATCATAAAGCAGTTATCACTTCCATAGAGCTCATAGTTTTGTTTAGTGATATCATGATACAAGTGAGCTACAACACCGGGTGTGTAAATTGCGGTTATCCCGCTGATACATTTCGAAAGCCGAACCTTCTACACCATTCGCGTGGTGACCGGCCACGGAGTATACCTATTACTGTAGCCACCTTAAAAACAGTCTTATCTTCAGTACAGGCAACTGATAGAATCTTCAGTGATTCTATAAGGACACTAACGAACTTCATACTTGCTTTGTTAGGCGGACCGCGTCCAAAAACCTCAACATTGAAAAACGATGATGACATTTGTATGGATGCCCACTCACGCGTGGAATACGGGGAATGAAGCGACCCACCGAGTAGCCCGGGAGGTGGACCTCTCAGCCCTGAACTTCACGAGGAAGGAGTAAGCATATAAAATCAAATGACAGCATAATATAGGCAGAACCGCGAAACATGCACGATCCCACGTGAACGCTCAACAAGGGTCCAAGGGAACAGGCAAATCCAAACATATTCTTTTCCCAGACCTTATCGGTCATCTAAAATTTACCCGGAAGCAAATAGACCAACAGCTGACATTGTCGTTGCCTGAAAGCTCCAAAATGCCCCGCCATGGTGGTCTAGTGGCCAAGCTACTCGGCTGCTGACCCACAGGTCGCGGGATCGAATCCCGGCTGCGGCGGCGGCATTTCCGATGGAGGCGGAAATGTAGGTTCGTGTGCTCAGATTTGGGTGCACGATAAAGAACCCCAGGTGGTCGAAATTTCCGGAGCCCTCCACTACAGCGTCTCTCGTAATCATACGGTGGTTTTGGGACGTTAAACCCCACATATCAATCATCAATGAAAGCTCCAAAATGACATTCTTTGGGAATGCAAGGCCGCGCAGCCACCAAAAGCAATAAAACAATTTTTTGTAGTGCGATGCGAAATACTAAAACAGCAAGAGGAAGGTGGAGATGATAGAGGGCTACTTTTGCAACATGTTCATTTTCGAACTCAGACCGCCTTTAAGCCATAATCGTCCGGTGAAAAGATAAGCACGTGGGATCACTCAGATAAATGGGTGACTGTGTCATGTATTTTAAAGAAAACTTCACAGATAAAACCAAGATCCACCAAATCTTGCCAGTCGCGTTACTCGCTGTACGGAGACTTGGCACGTACCTTGTCCTCGCACAAACTATGGATTTGAAACACTACGTTACCGCCTTCCAAGTGTGATGAACAAATGGAAACTAACAACTGATAATCTGCGTATATTGTCTAAAACTGAAATGTTAAATCGGATGTGCTGATTGTGTTGTAAATGAATGTTGGGTGATTTCTGTAATGGTTATTCAGTTTTTATTCTTTCATGCATTGCTTTGTTATGAATATTTTTGTATGTATTTTAGAGTTGTGATTCTATTATTTGCTGTCATGGGCCACACGCGTGTTTTCTTTGGTATTGTCGCTTTCCGCTGCCTGTAATGTTTGTAATTTTTTGTAAATTTGTAGTTTTGATTTTTTTTCTGGGTGAAGGGGCCAGTCAAGCTGTGAAATGCAGCTTTTTTCCCTTCGCACCCAACCACGTATACATTGGATTTTCGTGTACTTGTCACGTGGTTAAATGAACTCAAACTCAAACTCAAACTCATGTATCACCGTGTATACGCAGGAAGCCAAGTTCTTTGGATGACGATGCAATGGAAGGCTTGATCAAACATACATCGCCAAGAGCGTCAATAACTTTGTCTTCCACGATGGAACGAGTCAACTCATCTTTATGCCGAGTTGCCGACCAATATTGATTGCATTCTGGACCAAATTCGGCAACTACATGCATGAACGTGAGGAGCGAGAAAACCTTCCGGTGATAGTTTATTCGAATTGTAACCAATGCTATCTCAGTCACTCACTCACACATACATGGTTTGGCAGGCAAACTGTTTCGCACGCGAGAACGAAATACAATAAATAACAAATGATTTGCAGTAAACAAATTTGTGTGCATACCTTCTTGTACACATCACACTTTCCCCTCGAGATGGATTTGCCATGACGCACAATTTCCCAAGTTTATGCGCCCCAGAAAATACAACCTTAATATATTCTTGAAATGCCACCTTATTTAGGTTATGTGACAGCTGGTGAACATATATGGACTTAAGGCCGTGTGGCTCGTTTCTTCCGATATATCGTCATGAAAGTTAGATTGGCTTAAACTTCCACGAATTCTTTTCAACTCTTTTTCGGCAACGGGAACTAAAACGTGGTCCAGATAGCCAGATCCTTGCAATCGTGAGATCTGATTATGGAAGTTCTGCTTCATTAATTAGGTGCACACATGACTTGCTAATGTGTTTTTTGAAGCATGTCGTCACGATGGCTCTCTTGGTTAGTTTGGAATGACCTGAATGAAATGGGAGTACAGTTTTCTGAGTACGTGGATCATAGCACCAGCAGAGCCTGTTGTCAGAATAAGGAAGACTTAAATCTAAATACCTAATTGTCGTTCACTAGGCCGTTCCACTGTCACTTCAAGGGGCTTAAAACCGTCGCGAAACACAATCAGCACATTGGTACTCTTAGTTTCGAAGTTCTCCCGCGAGCTGTCAATAAAAATAATAAAATCATCCACATACCGAGACACTTTCTTAACTGTCGTTCCTTCTACACACTATGCCATAGTTCTATGCAGTTCTGCCAGAAAAAGATTGCGCAAGACAGGCACGGTACAAGAACCGATGCAGCTACCTTGTTTTTCAAGAGAACATAATTGTTCAATTTGATGAACACGTTAAACCCCACAAATCAATTTGATGAACGAGAACTGGAGATAAAATTCCAACAAGGTAATAAAATTATCAAGGGACGCACCCGACTCGGAAGAAAACTTGATTCCACTAAATTCGTCAATGCTGCTTCCAACACCTTTTAGCGATTGCGGTTGGGGAGGGATTAGTGAAGGTCAGTCACATCAATTGGGAAGCTTTTAGCCCTTCATTTTCAAGAGCTTCCATGAAGTCTGAAATACTATCGGAGCTCTTGGCTAAAAACGGGTCTCAGCATAACAAAAAAGCAGTGAGTTCCGTTTGCCAGGTACCTATTTCCGAGACTGTGACTTTGAAAGGAGAGTTAACTTTGTGAGCTTTTGCATTAAAAAGCACATCCAGGCTATTCTTCTTACTCTTTTGATACTTTCAAGAGTTCCAGCAATGTTCCTTTTTTTTGCACAACCGAAAAGCTTATGGTTTTACTTTGTTCAATGATACGCCATCTTTTACATTAAAGCACCCCAGAAATAGCGTCAACACCTTTTTCTAAGGAACATGAACGCGAAAAAACCACGAAGCCTCTTTCCCGATTTCCGTACAAAACACAGTGAATTATTGTCCAGGTAAGACGAAACACGCTTTACAGAAATGCGAGAACAAACAGGTACAACGTGATAGGGTGTCTACTCCTTCAGATGTATTTCCTTCTTTCTCCCCTTCAGTAGCACGTCGTGACACCTGAAGAAGGACATTCAGGAGTTCTGGACTTGTCCCCTGTCTTTCAAGAGTGAACTTTCGCTCTAGCTTTAGCACATGAATGAAGTTATCGGGTAGCTGGAGGCCTTCAGGAACGTGAACTTTGCCCTAGGCTTCCCATCAAATACTGGTCACTCGCTCGTGAAGATAGTGCAGCTGGGCCATCTAAAGCGCGTCGGTAACTTGCCCAGCCAGTTGGAGGTATATCTTCAGCTGAAATCCAGTGACAGACAACTCGAAGGAAGTCTGAAGCTGTGCGCAAAGACGAATTCTGTGCAGGTGAACTTGGCGATGCAATTCAGCACGTAAAATCTTCAGTATCCCCCTGGCATGACCGAAGGAGGACACAAAGCTCGCGCAAAGCGCGAGGACTTCATCCGGAATAATACCATTGCGGATGCAGAAATTGACAGAACGTGCCCTGCATGTCGCGTTGGCGTTAAAGGCTGCAATACAGCCTGGGTCTTTAAGAATAAACAGAAAGTGGCCCATTGTACGAGAAATGTAGTCGACGAGAGTTGCAATGTGGTCTTGTTGGAGATGCATTCGAATTTTCTGCAGCGCGAGGCGAAAGACAAACAGACGAAGGGATGGACGGAGAAAATAGAGCGCTCTAGCAATTACATGTTTATTTTCGAACTCGGGCCCCTTTTAAGCCATCGTCAGGTGGACGGATAAGCACGTGGGATCATTCAGATAAATGCGTGATTATGTCGTGCATCACCAACAAGCCCACTTTGTAACTCTCATCGACCAAAAGCAATGCTACCAGCTCCCTTCAATGTGGCGCGGCAGTCCCTCCTGTCATCAACTGATTCTCGTATTCAAGCAGAAGCTATCAACTAGGCCGAAATTATCATGACAAGCTATTGGCCATAACCCTTCGAACTACCGGCAAGCTAAATTCTATGGGCGCGTTGCACCCTAAATAATGTGCGTTCCTCTTTCTCTCCCTCTGTTTAGCAAAGCTCGAAGGGGGGAAAATGCTGCATGGGAAGGCGGTTAACATCGTCAAAAAAAGGCAGATCCCACGTACAGTGGGCATAGATGATATTTGAAGCACGAATGGGTAATGTTGATTTGTCACATTAAAATCAGCACAACGTCACGAGGCGGAAAGAAATCATGATGAACATGACTTCCATATCATGATTATTATGTTCGCGCCTGGAATTTGTATTCGTCGTCAATTTACCTCACGTGATTCTAAATTTGGTATATGGGAAGCTAACGCACGGCCGCGAGCACGCTATAAGCGTATAGCATGTAGTCCTGTTTTGCAGGACACGCATAGTATGATTATCATGTTTGTACCTGTTACTTACTTTCGTCGTCTATTCACGTCACGTATAACTATATTTGGTATATGTGAAGCCAGCAAAACGGCTGCAAGCGCATCATGAGTGTGGTCTGTAGTCATGCTCTTACCACAAACGCATGTAACGATTATCATGTTTATACCGGTCATACACCATCGCCATTCATTCCCGCCACGTAAGGCCAAATTTGGGGATGTGAAGCTAGTGAAATGACCGCGAGTGCATCTTGAGCGTGGCTTGTAATCATGTTCTTACATGGCACGCATGTTATGATTATCATGTTTGTGCCAGTCACATATCTTCACCATCCATTATTGTCACGCATACCAAATTTGGTAATGTGAAGTTAGTGAAATTACCGCGAGCGCATCATGAGCGTGGCATGTCATGTTTATCATGTTTGCATCCGCCATATACCTTCGTTATCCATTCCCGTCACGCATGCCAAATTCGTTAATGTGAAGCTAGAAAGATGACCGTGAGCGCATCATGAGCGTGGCTTGTAATCATGTTCTTACATGACACGCATGTCACGATAATCATGTTTGCACCAGTCATATACCTTCATCATCCATTCGCATCACGCATATCAAATTTGCTAATGCTAAACTCGTGAAATGAGCACGAGAGCATCATGAGCGTGGCATGTAGTCATGTTCTTACATGAAACGCATGTCATGATTTCCCCGTGAAGGCCTGTCACTTATGTTCGCCATGCCGTCATGTCATACCATACCAGTTTTGCAATATATCATGTGAAGGAAACCACCGCAGGAGCAGCAGGGCCATGACATGTGAATTATGACATTCATGACACACGTCATGATTTTCATGTTATCAGTCTTATGACTAGCCACTAATGCTCGCCATGGAGTCATGTTATGTCTTAAATATTTTGGCATAGATCCCATCATCGAAACTGATGGACGGACGGATGGACGGATGGATGAATGAATGAATGGATGGACGGGCAGACGGACGGACGGACGGATGGACGGACGGATGGATGGATGTATGTATGGATGGTTACGGTCAAAGTCACCGAAGTTCGCTAAGAAATGCTTCTAGCATTCAACTATTTACGAATGTTACCTGTCCCGACCTGTATGCGAGTCTGTTGCAGGCCGTAGTGCAAGACTACGGAATAATCTTGTCTTCATGCAGTTCTTTAACATGCAGCTAAATCCCAGTACACGAGTTTCCTTGCATATCGTTCTCATCGAGACACGGCCGTAGTGGCCGGGGATGTCATCCGTGCCTTCTAGCTTAGCAGTATGACACACGACACCTAACCCGCTACGCTAACATGACGGGTCAATAAACTATGTATCAATGATCAGCTGTGTGGAATGACAGCCGTGTGACAACTAATCCGGCTACAGGGTATCTAGCATGGCTACAGGGTTAACTGCAAGGTCCGATTTTCTGAGAGGGCCAGTGAGCCTCCAGCGCCACCGCTGCAGCTATCCACCATGCTGCGACTTGTGTTCGGAAGACCAGGAGAAGGGCTCTTTGTGCGGTAATAGAGATTTGATGAAAATTTTTCTCTCTTGCGTTTTCCTGATAAGCCGTCCCTACGCAAGCGGCGCCGTTAATTGTCTACAATTTGCTCTCTCTTAATGTCAGCATTATCTCGATTCACAAGCCGTCTGGATGTGCTAGCGTGCTAGCCGAGAATGCACTGTCTCAGTCATACCGTGGATCCAGCCAGGTCACTTTCGAGACGAGCCAGCAGCTGACGACCGCAACCGCATCAGACATGCTTCATTTTTTTTATTGCGTGAAAAGAAAGTGGAATGCTGGGTGGACGCCCTCTGATTTTGGCAGCGCGCCCCCTCGCTTTGCTGCCGAGCCCCTGTTTCGTTCTTTTTCTTTTTTTGTTCTCTCTCTAGCTTGCCGCTCTTCCTGTTGTCAAAAAGCTGCCAGCTGCTGTGTGCACTGTCTCGCTAAATAAACAAAAACTGGCACGCATGGAACTCACTCTGAGATCACTGACAACGCTTGTGACAGTTTTGCGTCTCCACGTTACGGCTTGTGCCTCGAACGTTTTCGTCATCGTAGCATAGTTGACAGTTTGGCTGACACGCCGAGCAACCGGTGTCGTGCCTCAGCCGTGGCTGCTGTCACCGACGACCTCCAGCCTCATCGCTT